GCCCTAAAAATCCTCTGTGCTCATTTGTCTCTTCCTCTCCCTAACCCCTGGAAACTGCCTGTCTTTTTATTGTCTCCATAATTTTGCCTTTTCCAAAATGTTATGTAGCTGGAATTTTCTTCAATGTAGCCTCTTCAAAATGACTCTTTCACTTAGTAATATGTATTTGAGTTTCTTTTACATCTTGGCTTCTGTAGCTCATTTCTTTTTATTGCCAAACAGTCTTCCATTGTCTTGATGTAACACAGTTTATCCACTCACCTACTGAAGGATCTCTTGATTGTTTCCAAATTTTGGCAGTTATGAGTAAGGCTGCTATAAACTTTCCTGTCCAGGTCTTTTGTTGTAAGTTTTGCGTGAGCGTAAGTATTCAGTTCATTTGGGTAAACACTGAGGAGTCTGATTGCTAGATTATATGGTAAGAGGAAGAGTTTGTTTCTTGAGCAGAAACTGCCGAACTATCTCACAAAATGGCTATATACTTTTGCATTCCCACCAGTGGTGATGAGAGTTGTTTATTCTCACCAGCATTTAATATTGTCTGTGTTTGGATTTTGGCCATTCTATTAAGTGTGTACTGATACCTCATTGTTGTTTTAATTTGCAGTTTTCTAATGACATTTGATGTTCAACTTTTCTTTGTATGTATATCTTCTTTTGAGATGTCCAGGTCTTTTGCCCATCTTTAAAATCAGATTATTCATTTTATTAGTGGTGAGTTTTGAATTTTTTTAATATTCTGGATAATAGTCCTTTATCATTTGTATCTTTTGCATATGTTTTCTCCCATTTTAAGGCTTCTCTTCTCACTCTTGATATCTGAAATTTTTAAGCACATGCTTTATGAAATAATGGTATATGTTTATCTTACAACAGACATATCCAGAGTACAAAGACTTGTATGCTTAAATTAAATAATTTAAGATTTGTTTAATAGTAGGATATTATTAATGAAATGTAGGGAAAATAATTTTTAGATATACATGTTAACCAATTACGAGAGGGATCATTTTCCAGGTTTATATGTGTCATTTACAAATAACTTTTTTTAGAAGGTAACAACCAATTCCTTTTTTAAAAAATAAGATTAAACAATTGATAAATAAATTACTACTTAGATACTGCCTCAGAAAACCCCCAAATCCATTGGACCACCAATTACAACCCAGCACAACATACTCCTCTCCCCAGAGCTTCAAAAGGCCTAAGTCTTCACCTGCCTTATTGCCTTGGTTCTTAGGGCGCTCCAAGCTCAGTCTACCACCAGACTTCATAATGCTCCCATGTTCTAGTCACCTAGATTTCTCAGGATAACATTTTAAGATTGAGGCCTTATCTTGGCTTAGTTTGATCTTTATCACATACAGGACATTTAATGAGTATGTACTGAACTGAGCTGAACCAGCAAGAGCAAGAGGGCTCTCTCAGAAGACTGAATTTTAAGTAAAAAGGGTTTAAGAGGCACTAAGAAAGTATAGACTTGGGAAACGTGAAAATTTTCAAATAACTAAAGCATCAGTCTGGAAAATTTGGGTTGGAGCCAAACTGAACGGTTGGAATGTTGTGTAGAGTTTGTAAATTGATACACCTACCTTTTACATAGAATGGTGAATTTTTGTAGCTAAAAGTATTTAGAATTTATATTCTTAATCCAAAAAACATCAAATTGAGATCTGTCAGTAGATCCTCAAATAATTTCTCTTTCTCCTGTACCTTCAGTGTTAAAGCAGGTATCCTCAAATACTGGCACATGCAAACAGAATTCAGAGAAATTGCAAAACCTGAAATAACACATGAAATTAGAAATTATTGGGGTATGTTTTTAGATGATAACACTTGCTTTTATTCTTTCTGTTGCTTTCTCTCTTTTTACTTCTTTCAAAGTACATCCAAATACAACTTCTTATATTCATGATCTCCTCTGTAAGACAATGTGTATTTACAATAGGACTGTTTTAAATTTGAGATACCTTTTTTCTTTTTTTTTCTTTTTTTTTTTTTAAGATTTTATTTATTTATTTGACGGATAGAGATCACAAGCAGGCAAAGAGGCAGGCAGAGAGAGAGGAGGAAGCAGGCTCCCTGCTGAGCAGAGAGCCCGATATGGGGCTGGATCCCAGGACCTTGGGATCATGACCTGAGCCGAAGGCAGAGGCCTAACCCACTGAGCCACCCAGGCGCCCCCCTTTTTTCTTTTTGAAATGTAATAGTAAATGCCAGTTCAGTATGTGTACTCAAATCAGTCTCTTAGTTCTCAGTGTGATAAAATTCTCAGGTATGAGAAGCAGTCAAGTCTTCTTACCCAGACATGTGTTCAGACAAATGAGATAATAAACTTTATTAATTAATATATAATGTTATGTTGTGCTGTTTTTACCTTCACAAAAAGCTTTTAATTTCTTAACTTCCTAGACTAGTAGCAGAGGTAAGGTGTCTTAAGAATTGCTACTCTGGGGACGCCTGGGTGGCTCAGTTGGTTAAGCAGCTGCCTTCGGCTCAGGTCATGATCCTAGCGTCCTGGGATCGAGTCCCACATCGGGCTCCTTGCTCGGCGGGGAGCCTGCTTCTCCCTCTGCCTCTGCCTGCCTTTCTGTCTGCCTGTGCTCGCTCTCTCTCCCTCTCTCTCTGACAAATAAATAATAAAATCTTAAAAAAAAAAAAAAAAAAAAGAATTGCTACTCTGCAGAGAGTGTCATAGAAACTACCACAGGGAAGTTAACAGAACTCCCAGCCAATTAGTAGATAATAAGACCCTTTGTTGGGGACCTACGTGGCTCACTTGGTTAAGTATCTGCCTTTAGCTCAGGTCATGATCCTGGGTTCCTGGGATTGAGCCCCCCCTCAGGCTCCCAGCTTAGTGGGGAGTCTGCTTCTCCCTCTCTCTCTGCACCCCCCCGATTTGTGCACTCCCTCTCAAATAAATAAAAATCGTTTTTAAAAAAATAAGCCCCTTGTTGGCTGTGATATTCACAGAAAGTCATTTCATTTTGCTTCATTTGACTCAAGCAAGAGCATTCTGTGATAATGTTATATTTTAATCCCTATGAAATTTAATAGTATTCTAATCATGAACAAACCATGGAAGATGCACATTTGTTGTTTTTACTCTTAATGGTAATTTCTTAACCTTTACTTTGTTCTCAAATAATCGAGGTGGGAGTTCCAACATCAATTAACTATTTAACTGAGATTATAAGAATATACTTTACTCATTTACAGCTTATAGATTTCTTTAAATGAAATATTGGGATTTGGGTTGAAGATGGTGGCATATGAAATTCATAAATTCACTCCCTCCCCTGGATACAAATGAATATACAACTGTATATGGAACAGTTTCTTTTGAAAAAGACCAGGAAACTGGATGAGCAGAGTCTCCACCAAAAAAAAAAAAAAAAAAATAGCATCAAGGTGGGTAGGAGACCTACCCCCTTTGTAGCAGTTCACCATTATGAGAGATCTCAAAAATGCTGAACTATTCCCTAATGAATGAGTAGTTTCTCCTCCACATCAGGCATGCCAGCCCTTGGATTCTGCAAAAGAAATAAGACCCCTAAAAGCCAGGTTTTGAAATACAACAAGTACTATGTCCAGGAAAGCCACAGATCTATAGGGAACAGAGAACCGCCCACCCTCCCGCCCTTAAAGGGCTCACTCACAGATTTATTCCCCTTGGGACCTAGTGCAAAAACACCAATTTGAAAAGTATGTAGACCAGATGTGAAAGACTCCCACCTACTAAACTTAAAGTGCCTATTAGAGAGGTAAGAAACTGTTGGGACTTTCTCCATGGATGGAGACATTGACAGATACCATATTTGTGATTTCATCCTACCTTGCCATTGTCAGTGCCCCACATCCTCAGTGCAATATGTGTCACAGCCAGGTTGGGTGACAGCCTAGCCCGCATGTACTCTCCAGTGTCAATCACATGTTGCAGCTGGGCTGGGCAATAGCCCTGCCAACCCTCTCACAGCAAATATGGCCCCATCATAACATATGGGAACACAAAGTCCACACAGGGGACACCGCTTAAGTGCCTAGCTCTGGCAGTCAGAGGGGATCGCACTTCTGGGATCCATGTACCATCTCCTTAAAAAAGGGACTAACTCCTTTAAGAGTGGGAGAGGTAGTTTTTTTGCCTAATACATAGAAACAGAGTTAAGTAAAATGAGGAGACAGAGAATCATGTCCCAAATGAAAGAACAAGACAAACATCAAAGAAAGACATTAATGAAATGGAGATAAGCACCCCACCTCATAAAGTATTCAAAACAATGGTTATAAAGTTGCCCACCAAGCTCACCAGAAGAATGAATGAACACAGTGTGATCCTTAACAAAGAAATAGAAACATAAGAGAGTTTTAAACAGAAGTTACAGAGCTAAAGAATGTAATAACTGAACTGGAAAATTACACAAGAAGATTTTAATAGCAGACTGAATGAACCCGAAGATCAGATCAACAAACTAGAAGACATAACAATAGAACTTACCTAGACAAAGTAGCAAAACAAAAAAATAATTTTTTAAAATGAAGATAAATTCACTCTGGGAACAATGTCAAGTAGAATAATATTTACATAATAGCGCTCCCAGAAGAGAGAATAAAGGCCAGAAACTTATTTGAAGAAATAAGGGTTGAAAACCTCCCTAATCTGGGTAAGGAAACACATACAGATCCAGGAAACCCAGAGAGTTCCAAAAAAGATGAACACAAAGAGATCCACACTAGACACATTATAATTAAAATAGTAAAAGTTAAAGAGTGAATCTTAAAATCAACAAAATAAAAACAACTTAATGCATACAAGGGAAACTCCATAAGGCCATCAGCAAAATTTTTAGCAGAAACTTTGCAAACCAGGAGAGAGTGGCACAACATATTCACAATGCCCACAGGAAGGAAAAAACAAAAAACAAAAACTTAAACAATTCCCAACCTGGCAAGACTATCATTCAGACTTGGAGAGATTAAGAATTTTCCAGACAGATCTAAAGATGGTGGCTTTGGCAGTGAGGGACTCTGTGGTGCTGTACATGAGTACTAGCCAGCCCGTGGCTTTTGTCAGAAAAATTCCCTGGACCGCAGCCTCAAGTGAGCTGAGCAAACACTTTGCTCAGTTTGGCCATGTACAAAAGTACACTGTATGGGTTAAAGCCTCTGCCTTCGGCTCAGGTCATGATCCTGGGGTCCTGGGATCGAGCCCCGCATCCGGCTCTCTGCTCAGCAGGGAGCCTGCTTCCTCCTCTCTCTCTGCCTGCCTCTCTGCCTACTTGTGATCTCTGTCTGTCAAATAAATAAATAAAATCTTTAAAACAAAAACAAAAACAAAAGTACACTGTACCTTCTGACAAAGATACCGGATTTCGTAGGAATATGAATTGGATTCAGTTTTCTTCAGAAGAACTTAAGGATGCACTACAACAAGAATATCATATTATTGATGGAGTAAAGCTCCATGTCCAAGCTCAAAGACCAAAAGTTTTGCAAGGGGATCAAACATCTGATGAAGAAAAAGATTTTTGAGACTATTAATATCTATTAAATAAACAAAATTGGCAAAAAAAAAAAAAAAAAAAGGGTTTTCCAGTCAAGCAAACATTAGAGTTCATCACTACTAAACTGACCTTAGTGGAAATAATAAAAGGACCTCTCTAAATTAGAGGAGGAAGTACTAATTAATTATAAGAAAACATACAGAAGTAAAAACCTCACTGGAAAAGGTAAATATGTGCCAAAAGCAGTGAACCAGTCACTTATAAATCAAACATGAAGGTTAAAAGACAAAAGTAGAAAAATTAATTTAAATTACAATAATTAGTTTAGACATTAAAGGATGCTTACTTTAGACATTAAAGGATGCTTACAATGAAAAGATATAAAATGTGACATCAAAAATATATTACTTGGTGTTCACTTTTCCCATTGCTTGACTTATTTCTCTTAGCATAATCCCCTCTAGTTCCATCTGTGTTGATGAAAATGGTGGGTATTCATCTTTTCTGAGGACTGAGTAATATTCCACTGTATATATGAACCGCATCTTCTTTTTCTGTTCATCTGTTGAAAGGCATCTCAGCTCCTTCCATAGTTTGGCTATTTGTGGACATTGCAGCTATGAACACTACATCAAAAAAAATTCTCAGTCTAACTTTACACCTAGGGAAAAAAAGAATAAATGAAGTCCAATTTCAGTCGAAGGAAGGAAATAATAAAAATCAGAGGAGAAATGCATGAAATAGAGACTAAAGTAAACAAAGAGTTCTATGAAACTATGATATGGTTCTTTTTTTTTTTTTTTTTTTTTT